TGACAAGATGCCACACAGGAGGCTGCTAATTAAGACAAGAGCCCATAGTATTAGGGGCAAAGGTACTGGCATGGATAGAGGATTGGCAGACAGGCAGAAGGCAGAGAGAGTGGCATAAAAGGGTGTTTTTCAGGATGGGAGCTGGTGGCTAGTGAAGTTCCTCAGTGGTCAGTGTTGAGAGCACAATTATTCATGTTACACATTAACAATCTGGGCAAAGGAACTGAAGGCACTGTTGCTAAGTTTTCAGATAGCATAATGATAGGTGGTGGGACAGGTAATGTTGAGGAAGCAGGGAGGCTGCAGAAGGACTTGGACGGGCTATGAGAGTGGGCAAAGAAGTAGCAGATAGAATACAATGTGAGAATGAAGAGCTTCTGATAGGAGGAGCAGTTTAGGACTCAGGTACTGTATTCGATTTAGTTTTGAAAGATGGAGAGGGATCTGATTGAATCTGAATGCAGAATACTGAGAGGCCTGGACATGAAGAAGATGTTTCCACTAGTAGGAGAGACTAGGACCTGAGGGCACAGCCTCAGAGTGAAGGGATGACCATATAGAACTCAGCTGGGGAGGAATTTCTTCAGCCAGTGGGTGGTGAATCTTTAGAACTCATTGCACAAGGAGGCCATCATTGAGTGCGTTTCAGACAGAGATATACAGGTTTTACATTAGAAAGGGGATCAAGGGTTAGGCAGAGAAAACAAGAGAATGGATTTGTGAAATGTATCAACCATGATTGAATGGTGGAACAGAAATGTTTGGCCGAAAGGTCTTATTCTGCTACTGCATCTTATGGTCCTATGGTGAAGGGAAGCGGGGGGTGGGCAGCAACAGTATTGACAAGGGTTAATATGGTACAGAATGGATGGGAAGAGGATAATATGGGTGGGTAGGTCATCCATGGTCAGGAGCATTCTAGCTTTAGATTGAGAGCAATGAATGATCAATATTGCCATGGTCACCTTATATACCAAGTGTTGAGTAGGAAAGGTAGTCAGGTGTAAGCACATGGAAATGGATTGATTGAGGACCTGGGGAGGTGTTGAGCCTGAGGGATTTACAGGACGGTCTACCAGGAAGAGGATTCAGGTGTTTGGCGGCCTCACCAACATGTTTAGGTGAAGGCTGCAACTCACTGACTGAGGAGTGCACACTATCTTATTGCCTTGAATAGTGCTGGAAATCAGAAGTGCACAATGGGGATAAAGGTGGCTGCACCCACACTCAGAGTGGGTGAGATAAGTGGCTCTACCTGTGAGAGAGGGGCCTCCAGTACCCATCAGTGATAGAGCTTTTAAAGGAAAAATACCTTGCAACTGGATAAATGCTGCTGACAACTCATTGTTCGCTACCCTTTTGGATAAAGAAGCCACAAAATAACAGGGATATTGCATGATGAGGGCCAAAGGTGTCAGTATGAACCAACACTGTGTTTATGCACTGTTTCTCTTGCTTCCAGAGGCTGTAACAATCTCTCAGCAATCTACTCCATGGAACCTGTTCTGTGGCCATGAAGTGATGCCTGATGCTGTAACAGTGATATTTGGCCCTAAACAGAGGGACTAGTAAACACATTTAGGGATAAAGCACATCATTTATGCAAATGTTCACCATTATTTGCAAACCATTGTCATCCAAAGTAGGTTAAATACTTTTCTGTTTCCTCTCCCCCATTACATCTGAGTGTACTCCTTGGTTCTGTAGCTGGAGTAGGGGTGGCCTGCTCAGCAGTGGAACCAGCTAGACCATTTTGGAGGGCAGTTCAGAGTCAATCACATTACTGTGGGTCTGGAGCCACATGTAGGCCAGACCAGATGAGGGCATCCGATTTCCTTCCCTTAAGGACATTTGCGAGCCAGATGAGTTTCTTTTTGACAATCGGCAATAGTTTCATTGTCACCAGTAGATTCTTAATTCCAGATTTTTTAAAAAATTCAAATTCCACCATCTGCTGTGGGATTTGAACTTATATTCCCAGAACATCAATTGAGTTTCTGGATTAATAGTCTGGCGATAAAACCAGTACAACATCTCCTCCCCCTAATGGTTGAAACCTTTGACTGACCTAGATGTGGTTCCTCCACTGGCAAAGTACCCTGTCTTGTTGTGAGAAACAGAATTAACATTTTGTGTCTGATATGACTTGTCAGAATAGTTTAGAACATCAATCTGTCCATGGAGGCAGGCAGACAGTGACATGATTTGCTGCAATAATGCAGTTCCTGGGCAACAAAAGCGATTGTGTCATACATACTTATCTGCTGCTCCTGTTCCTCCCTCTGTGCATGTGAAAGAAGCCCCTGACTGCCAACAATCACAGGGTCCTGGGACTGAGTAGTGAGACAGTGGTCTCTGGCTGTCCTCTGATTTCCAACAGCCTGGGTCATTTCTTCCTTGGCCAGCTGAGGAACTGTTACAGTGAAATGCTCACGGGATTGAGTTTCCACACTCTTGAAACCTAAAGTACCCAACAAGGTGTCAGTATCTGGGCTGGTGGGGTGAAGGAGGAAGCCTTGCTGATGTTTCCTTTGTGGCCTTGGGTCTTTAATCCTCAGAGGCCAAACAGGCAGATTCTGAGGGAGCTGAGTGATTTTCCATAGAGACCATGGAGATGTTGAGTGTACCTGCAAGACAGAAGAGAGAAAAAGAGAAAAGACATCATGACTTGGTGGTTAGAAGTGGTACAATAAATGAGAATGAAAGCAGGGTTAAAGTGAGGGTTGAAGTGGAACGAAGGTGGGCACTTACTTGGTTGTGTGCATCACTGCAGCAATAGTCCCTGTTTTCCTCTGTGAGGGCCAGAAATCCTCTCCTTGTATGAGGTGAGGAGCTTAATGTTAGGTACCCTCCACCCTGTAAGGACTCTATCTGCCCTATTATGGGCTGTCTTCTCCTGGAATGAGAGAAAGAGAGAGATTGAGTGAGGAGAAAGTGGGTGGCACAGCAATTAGTGCTGGTGTAGGTAGGCGCAAGGTGGTGAGGTGCTCCGAGAGAGGGAGGGAGGAGACAGGGAAGGTGGCACGCTGGGTTAGTGGTGTGGAGGGTGAGGATGAGTGGGAAAGATGCTGAAGCAAATATTGAGAATGACAGAGCATGATCCTTGGTGGGAGCTGGGTGCAGTAGCAGAAGTAGCCTGAGTGCGAGATAGCTGAGACAACAATGTGGCACTTACCCGGACATGGCAGAGAAGGTCATTGACCTACTTTTGACACAGCTGGCCATTCCTCCACTTCCTGGTGACTATACTGATCCAGGTTACAACTTCAGACCAGACTGACAAGATCTGGTCTTGCAGCATTCTCTACTCTTCTCCTCTGGAGCACCCTGTCTGGCAAGATGACCAGGTCCTTGTTAGAGAATCACAGTGCCATCTTCCCCTGCTCTATCATGTTCAGATTCTGTCTGACAATGTGCAGGTCAGCTTCAGAATGCCGATGCTCATTCAGTTACACAGCTGCCATGGTCTGTCTTTTGGTAGCCAGCTACTGAGTGTCAATTTGTTCCAGGAATGATGTAGTGAGATGAGGTGGGGTAGATAGTGAAGCAAGTTTAGTAAGATACAGCAAGTAATATCACCACTCCTCATAGTGAAAAATCCTCCAAAAATTCAATGTAACTCAGACTTAAACTAAAAAACATAAGATTCAACTCCATGCTAACGTAAGCTCAAGTGTCTTACTGAGCAGTAGTGCAGCTTGAAGAGGAGTGTGGATTATACATATTTTTAATCAATCTGACTGGAGTGTAAGAGGGTGAGGGGTGACCTTATAGAGGTTTATAAAATCATGAGGGGCATGGATAAGGTGAGGGCCAAGGGTCTTTTCCCTGGGGCAGGAGTTCAAAACTAGACGCCATATTTTTAAGGTGACATGAGGGGCAAACCTTTTTACACAGTGTGTGGTTTGTGTGTGGAATGAACTGCAGAGGATGTAGGGCAGTTACAACAGTTAAAAGACATTTAGATAACCACATGAATAGGAAATATTTGGAGGGATATAGGGCAAATACACGTGAGTAGGACTAGTTTAGTCTGGAAACCATTGTTGGCATGGACTAGTTGGACAGAAGTGTCTGTTTCCATGCTGTAAGATTCTATGACTCTATGATCTTTGGATTAGTTGGGGCTTGAATCCAGATCTTCTGAACTAGAGATAGGATCATTACCACTGCATTGTAAGGCTTATTTTCACAGCTATTAATGACTGAGAGATGTAATGCATTGATAATAAAAGTCACCAATAACTAAAGAACATATTTCAATTGAATGAAATGTTTTTTTTAAACCGAAGACTGGTGCAGGCTGAATAAACTGTGAATGAATTATTAAACCACATAATAGTTATTGTGCTACTTAATGAACACTTTTGCATTCTGTTAATGAACTGGGAAACAACACACATACAATTTTCTTAATGGGCCATTACAAACATGTTAACGATATATATAATTCCACATATTCACAACGTATCGAGCTATTTAACTGAAATTACACTTGCATATTTCATTAGAAACATTTGGTATTGGTAATTTAAATATATATACAGATAATTTGTTAATAGTCTTTCCAAGTAAACATCTGTAACTTGATAGGCTATTTAAGTGCACATCAGTAATTTTCTGAATTGCTTAAAACAACTGTAATTTAATAATGGTCTATTTTAATGAGAAGTTTCATGTTGCCAATAGCAGACATAAGTGTACAGCTTTAACCTGTGGATGGGTTATGATGATATTTTTATTTCATGGTATCATTTTAGGAATGTAGTCGTCCTCATATAGATATGCGCTAAAGGAAATGAACATATATGAATTAATCAATGATAAATGAAATATATCATTTAAACATGACAAAGATTTACTAAGAGATTGACATGAATGCAGGTACACTTAATGTTTATACATTAGGTGCTCTCAAAGTTTAAGAAAAGATATGATTTCCTGTGAAATATTGTTTATGTATCTTATCTGGGAGAATTAAAAGCTCCTTTACATCCTAGGTGGAAATCCTTGTCCTGGTAGCCATACTTTGCAAGAATGGCGATCTTGTAATGAGCATGGCTGCATGGTATTCTATTGGGATACATCACCATGGGGTCCTTGTACAGAAGATACAGCAGTGATGTCCCTCAATGCTACAATCAGTTGGAATAACAAGGCCACATGTTCTGTAGGCATGCAGACTCGATGGGCTCTTTGCATGAAAAGCAAATTTGGACATGTTTCTCCCAAAAGGTATTAGTATTTCCTTTCCGGACTAAAAATTTAGATGTTATAGAAAATAATTCTTGCTTTTTCTTGTCTATTGTAGAGATTTAATAAGTACAGTTGTGATTTGTGAAGGTTGTTGCTGCTCCACCACAATGTTTTCATATCATTGACTCATATAAAACAAGAGCTCACTCAGAAACCTTAAACTAGTTTGATCTTGTATGAAGACTGGTATTTCTGTGCATTCTGCCCAACCCACTTGGTTTCGCTCTTTTTCTTAGTATAACATCCTAAAAACAGCACAGTGGAATGGAAAAGTCTACGGACTGAATTAAATTGTTTCTTGGAATTCCCCATTCTTTATTTAGAGTTCCAACAGACTTTTTCTTTCGGGCTTTACCAAATTTTATGCATACCCTTCCAAGTCCACAGAAAAGAAAATTTAGCAGATTATTGCAGCATTTTTTGAGTGCTGTCCAAAAAAATCAATAGATTAGCAGCTGAAGATGCTAAAATATTTGTCAGGGCTTTCAACGTGTACTGTCTAAACAAATTTAGGAACCTGCACAGGATGCTGAATGGATTCTAAAACCTCAGTTAAAAATTAAATGAGGGCTGCATCATTTCAGACAGCTTCTAAGATACCGTAAATCCCATTGGATTGGGAGCAGGTTATTTTAAAATTGGCTTCAAAGATGCTTGAAGACCTACTTTAAGGTACAACTTCTGTACGTTTAATAAATAGGAGAATCAATACATAAAATGAATATACACTTTTTTGTTGGAACAAATGAAAGTTTGCAGCTCAGGTTCTTTCACTTTAAGTTCCTGAAGCTTTTGAGAAGATGTCTGGAAGACTGAGAACATAAGATGTTTTACATGGAAAAGCAAAGGAAATCAAAAATCTGAGTCAACCTGAGCTATCTTAATACCCTGTTCAGAAACAACATTAACAGAGATGAGGGAACAAGTTATTTGCTTGTCCTGCTGATCAAAAGGAAGTGCAGAGCATGGAATAATCTGAAGAATGGGAGAAAAAAAATTACAGCTTTCTAAAATAAATTGCACTCGAGAAAAACCAATCTGATATTTGATAGTGTACTCTCCCGTTTCATTCATTATTTCCCTTTGATCTTTGCTCTTTGTCTTTGTCACTGTCAATTGCTATTTCTCTGAAATTCTGTTCCTGTTTATAGGCACTTCCACTGTGTCCTTGTGCTCTTCAACCCTTTCTGGTTTCCTTCTGACTCTTTTGCTGCTCATATGCTATAATGCTGAAATGTGCCATCATCATGACAGCTTCCTTATGAAAATAGCAAGAAGGGTCTAGGCCCGAAACATCAGCTTTCCTGCTCCTCTGATGCTGCTTGGCCTGCTGTGTTCATCCAGCTCTACACCTTGTTATCTCAGTTCTTTAATGGCTTTTATCAGAAGGCAACGTAAACTCAAGGAACAGCATCTTATCTTTCAATTAGCCAGTTTGCAGCCTTCTAGACTCAGTAGTGAGTTTAAAATGTCAGATCATAATAAATATACTTACTTGTTAGGACAGCAGTTGTTAGTAACAAATCTGCTATTCCCATTTACATCTTGTCCAGAATGATCTTTTGTTTCTTTACTTGTCCAATACCATCATTTTGCTATGCAATATTGTCCTTTTCGTCATGTAATCTCTATTACCTTTCACTCAATCACAGATCTTCCCATTTATTCTTTTCTCCCCTTCTTCCTTTTCCATGAATCTGCTTAAAATTTGGTTACATCTCTAAGTTTTTCCAGTGCTGCTGAAAAGCCTTGAAAGGAATGCTAATTTTATCTCTGCTCAGAGGCTGTTAGATCTACTATTTCCTGCATTTTTTGCTTTTGCTTCAGGCTTTCAGCCTCTGCAGCATTTTGCTTCTGTAGACATTAACAATATTATTTAAGTTAACTGTCTAACCTAGCTAACAGAAATTGATTGCATATTTTCAGGTATAGTTTCCAATTAACAAAGCAGGCAAAATTAATTTTCTATGTCAAAGATGTTCTGAATAATAAGCATAATGTATTTAAATTCATCCCTCAGAATGTTTGTTCCTGAACACATAAGACAGAACTTATTTATTTAACATGTAATGGGGAGAAACAAAGATCATCATAATGACAGTCTAATAATGACACACCAGCACTAATGGACAACACATTAAAATGTCATGGGCAATCTCTTAATCATACTGATGAATTTTCCATATGCAGACATCAGGAATAATAACTACAATGCATAATGCTAATAGGGTACAAAGTTCAGCTTTCACTTCCTCATCATTCGTTTTTAATACAGGGAACTTATTAATACTATTAAATACAGTTGAATGTTGTCAAGACTTTCTGCTCAATTATTTTTATTTAAATTCATTGATAGCAATAAATTAATAAAGCTAGTTTAATCTGACTCCTGAGTGACGATTATAATGAAAATGAACTTCCAGTACAAAAGTGTACAATTCATTTGAGAATGAAGAGAATAATAGATATTGTTCAATATATCATGCTGAGAATTGATGTAGGGAATAAGAATTGTCTGAATAAAAAGAATTACAATTCTATTAGAAAAGTAGACAATGAGTTTGAGAATGAAGCAAAGAATGAGAATTGCTGACAAAAGAGGCATTTTTGAAGTTTTTTTATCTTACAGTCATCAGGACAATTCACAAGAGAACCAACATTTATTTGATCGACAGTTGATCAACATAAAGCTTGGCTGTTGACTGTCAGTCATAATTAATCGATGCATTTTCCATGTTAATACTGCTACCTGTTGCAGTCCACTTGCTGAACAATCAGCACTCTTCTCTTATTTAGGATAGATATTCATTTTACTCTTGAATGGGTATTCTTGAGAATTGAGCAATATGAAAAGTCTCATCAAAATTTGACTTTTTCACCAATAAAATGAGTATTGTTCCATAGATCACTTTGAGAACAGGTTTTCACGAATCATTCCACACCCATAATGCAACATTTTTCTCAAGTTATTTTAGTGAACCACATGTAGAATTGTGGTGAGGGTGTAAAACTAGGTTGGATTTGAATGTTCAGTGTTCACATTTCTACTTCGGTTAATGTACTGAAAAATGCTCCTCTTTGACTGAGGGAACTTTTTTAAATTCATTCATGGGATGAGGGCATTGCTAGCTAGGCAGCATTTATTGCCCATCCCTAATTGCCTAGAGGGCAGTTAAGAGTCAACCACATTGCTGTGGGTTTGGAGTCACACGTAGGCCAGACCAAGTAAGGATGGCAGTTTCCGTCCCTAAAGGGCATTAGTGAACCAGATGGGTATTTCCCCAATTGCCAAAGGATTCATGGTCATCATTAGATTCTTAGTTCCAGATTGCTATTGAATTCAAATTCCACCATCTGCCATGGTGGGATTTGAACTCAGGTTCGCAGAGCAGTATCTAGGTCACTAGATTAACAGTCTAGTGACAATACCACTGGGCCATCGCCTCCCTTTAAGCATAGATTGGCCTTTTAGAACTCAGTTAGCATTTAACAGTTAACATTTTGAAATCAGTCGCTGCCACAAGTGAGAAAGGATTCTCCAGAAGTAATCCTGCTTAACTTACTGAGCTTCCCACTAACACTAACAGAACGTTGTTTTTCAGTAACTCGAAGATAGTAAGAACTGCAGATGCTGGAGTCAGAGTCAATACAGTGTGGAGCTGGAGAAGCACAGAAGGTCAGGCAACATCAGAGGAGCAGTTCCTCCAGCTTTGCACTGCATTGATAGTTGCTCATTAAAGTGTTTTGTACAATATAATAAGTCATTTCTTTGGAAATGGCTGGATACATAGTTAAATCGCATTACTGCCCATGTACGTAGAGTAGTTTATAGAACCCCTACAGTGTGGAAACAGGCCCTTCGGCCCAACAAGTCCACACCGACCCACAGAGCATCCCACCCAGACCCATTCACCTACAGCCCATCTAACCTACACATCCCTGAACGCTATGGACAATTTAGCATAGCCAATCCACCTACCCTGCACATCTTTGGGCTGTGGGAGAAAACCGGAGCACCTGGAGGAAACCCACACAGACACAGGGAGAACGTGCAAGCTCCACACAGACAGTCACCCGAGGGTGGAATCGAGCCCAGGTCCCTGGCGCTGTGAGGCAGCAGTGCTAACCACTGAGCCACCGTGCCGCCTATTTATGCTTGACATGTAATTTTAATTTGTGTAGCAGTCAATGTCTTGGATGAAACATGATCTGAAAATCTGATTGACTAGAAGGAATTAATCTTCCTTGAAAAGAAAATTACCTTTATACATTACTGTTGTGAAGTTCATTGCTTCTGTTGAGTCTGCTCTTTGTAACAGCTTTGTAACTATGTAACAGCTTCTTGGTTTTTCATCTCTCCAAAAATTTCTAGGTGTCCTGAAAATACCAGGCCTGAAACTGTTCGCCCATGCCTATTACCATGTAAAAAGGACTGCATTGTCACCCCGTTCAGTGAATGGACACCTTGCCCTACTCAATGTCAACAAGGTAATTCCTTTGGAAAAATTATCCTCAATGGTGGATAAATACTTTAAGAAAATCACTAATACTCAAGAACTGATGCATTTTGGGGTTTTTATTGTTTTCTCCTCCCAGAACTTACGCATCTCGATGAAATTACGTTACGAAAATCACATTGCTGAATAATTTAAAAAAAACATAATTTTGCAGAGTATATATCTGTTCACACATTATGATAGAAGTCTGGGGAGGTGGAGGCATGGTGGTAATATCACAGGATGAGTAATCCAGAGGTCCAGGTTAGTGTTTTATAGGCATTATTTTAAATCCCAGTTTGCCAGATGCTGATACTTAATTGAATAAAAACATTGAATTAAAAGCTAGTCGAATAGTGACCATGCAATTATTGTTGTAAAAAGTTCATTGTTAGGGAACAAAATGGACTGTCTGTACCTGGTCTGGGCTACATATGACTTCAGACCCACAGCAATGTGGCTGACTCTTAACTGCCTTTTAAGTGGATTAGCAAGCCACTCAGTTCAAGAGCAACTAAAGATAGGCAACAAATACCGGTTTTGTCATCGATGTCCATAGCCCATGCAAGAATGAAAGCATCATTTATTATTGATCTTAATCCTGTTTTCAGTTTTTTTTTAAGAAAATCTTTCTTTGATATGCAATAAACCAGAAAGTTAATTGTTTGCCAAATAACAATTCACTGTCTTTCAGATATAGATATAGATATGTCATACAACGGAACATGAACCTGTCTAAAACTTTAAAGTAATGTTCCAACTGTCATTTTTGGCTTGTAAGATTCCTATCTTTGCTGCATTAAAAATTATGCTATTTTCAAGCTCATTTAACATGCTTCAATGCAATACATTAAACAGGGTTTTTAATTTTACAGAGTTTTGCATTTTGGTGAACATTTGACAAACTAGGGGCATTTTTATCTGGATGTTCTTGAGCAAAGCAATATCGACAAGTTCAGAAACTTCTCTTTATGCTCATCTTCTGTAGAATGGCGTGGAGTCATTCCACTCATTTCCAATGTAACTAATGAAATTTACATTGTCTCAGAGGTTTTGTTCAAAGTATTGATCAGCATGAATCCAGAGAAATGATCACACTGCAATTCTGTAACCCCTCCACAAAGGTCTCAAAATATCTGTGCAGTCTGTGAATTTCATTTTACATTAAGGACTCCATGTCGAGACTGATATAAGTTTCCTGGTAGGAAATGTAAGCTTCAAATGCAGAAAACCACTGAAATAGATTACAGATATTTCTGTCAAAGCAAAATATTGTGGATGGAAGTTAAAACAAGCACAACAGAATGGTCATCCCATTGTAAATCTTTTCTGAATGCTTTCAAATTTCACAACATCCTTCCAAAAGCAGGGAGACCAGAATTGCACACAGTATTCCAAAAGTGGCCTAACCAATGTCATGTACAGCTGCAACATGACCTCCCAACTCCTATACTCAATGCACTGACTGATAAAGGCAAGCGTCCCAAATGCCTTCTTCACTATCCTATCTACTCATGAATCCACTTTTATTGATCCCAATACTTTCTAAGAGGTTGTCACAAAGGCATCCTGGCCCCTTGTGAATGGACAATTTCTTTCCTGTTCTCCACCTTCTTGACCAAAGCCATCAGTTTAGTGTCAAAATTCTCAGAGCCTGCTGTTTTTGTATAAGGAAATGGTACTGAGAGTGTTAATGTTGAAGTTGCATTTGCTCCATCCAATCTCGGATCTTACACAGTCTTTGTGTGGGAAACAGTTTGTCTTGCACAATGTTCTGATGGAGACAAATGTAAAATACCTGGCTCCCGATTGTTAATTTTCATTGCACCAATTAGTATCATTCAATTATTTTATCGTGTAGGACAAATGCCTCTTCGTTTTAAGACTCTCTACCTCTGTTAATTAGGCAGCCCTGAGACTCAGAATAGAAAGGAGGAATGGTGGCAGGGAATAAGCCACAAAACACCTCTGTTTGATTACCAGAAGATTAAAAATGCTCGCAGCACTAGTATCTAGAATTACGATAGCTCTCTGCCATGTTGTGTAATTTTTATGCTTTTCTCATGTCAAACACAAGATTACAATGACTTGCTGCTCTTTCTCTAGCCAAAATGTACCACCCTTTTAAGAGGCACAGCTGGTAAGGAATCTAAACAATCTGGCCAAATTTGACCTCTTGCTCGCATATGACAATTTTATTCCTTCTGTTTAGCTGTACAACCACTGAACAACACACTTAACCCTGGCCACAAACTATCATTTAAATTTGTAAACAATGCAGAGCTTGTGTACTACCTGTATCAAAAGCAATGGGCTCCATTTAATGGCTCACTATGAACCCCAAGTTTGTTTATGTTTCTTCTCAAATGTTGTTGTCAATGGTTTCTTACCGAACATTACCAACACATTACAATTGAGAGAATCCTGTCACTACCAATGTAAGTCATAAAAAAGGACAAAAAAAATTCATAATATGACAATAATGTATCTCCTGTGGAACTATTGAATGGCAGTCACAAAATTATGGTCACTGTTTGCGCTGCTACTTTTTCTCTGTTCACCCAGCTTTCTCTCTCCTCTTATTTCCTTTTCATTCTGTTTTTGTCTCTTTGTTATCATCATTTCTCATTCCCTCTCCATTCTTTAGCTTCTGTTTTCAATTGCCTGCTATTTCTTTTATTGTATTGTTGTTTTAATTCTCTCTTTACATCATTTGCTCTCACTCTGCATTCATCTGTTTCGGCATTTGCTTTTTGGTAAGAACTGAATGCAATGGTTAGTGCAAGGTGTGAACAGTATTAAGGAGGAATTTAACTCTGAAAGAGAAACATTCTTTGAAGGTTATTGGTGGCAGCTAAATGGAAGACGAATTGAACATGGTGCACACATGTTTAAATGAGCAAATAAAGAAAAGATATATGCCCAAATGGAGAACATTTAATAGGTTTTAAATTAATTATATCATGTAAAGGGCCTCCAAAGATGACCTTGTCTTGTTAAAACTCTGATAATAAACTGTAGTTGAAGATCTGAGTGTTGTCATACTATTTATTGCAATATGTGTCTATGTGGCCTATAAGACCTATAGCATATAATCTCTGAAATACATCTCTGGTTGAAAACATATTGATCTTATTTTTCAATCACAATTTGCATTAAAAATGCAATAAATTTCTGTCAAAAATACTTCAATAGTTGTATTACATTTGAGAAAAGTTAAACATACAGATCCCCCTTTATAATAATCCAAGAGAAAGGATTTCAAATTTAATTAGTAAACTCCCACAACTATCATCATCAAGACTGGTTTACAATTACAGGAGTAAAAAGCTGTTTTGCTCCAATGAGCACTATAACACAGTCCCTTTAATTAAAATCTTACTGAATGGTTGCACAGTGAGAATGTTGACCACTGTCTCTAGAGTTCTTGGTGACATTGACTTTGAATTTTGTTAACTCAACCGTGCACAGTGATTAAAAGTGCATAGTGTACTGTATCTATTGAAGAAACAAATTTGATTTAGTGAGTTCAACTGGGTAAGTGAAGCCAGTTCGTTAACTATTAAAATTCAAAATGTTCTTCTACTGGCAAATGAAGTCAGGCATTGTATTGCTTCCTCATCTCTGCATACTTGTAAACATTGGAAATTTTAGACAGATGTAATATTAAATTTTACTCATTTGTCAAGTTGTTCTACTCAATATTGACATTTTGTAGAACAAACTAATGTGAACAGTGAGTTAGTACTTCCTTTTTCAAAGGTACTGTGCAATAGATTAGCAAACTGGGATTTGTATTTTCGATTTTGCCCGTGCTGAGATTTTAATCTCAGCCAGACCGTCAGAGGGAAACAGTGACTGGAAAATGCCTCCCTTCGTACAGAAAATAGTTAACTGATTTGACAAATCATCCTGGGTTAGTACACAATTTTCTTAAATAGAATGGGCTGACATCAGAGATAGGATTGCCCAGCTCCGAGAGGGAGTATTTGTTAGTGCAGTTGGGGTCAGTTTAAACTAAAATGGCAGCGAAATGGGACCCTAAACAGGAAGACAAAAGACGGAAACGAGGGCAAAAACAAAAGACAGAATGGGAAATAAGAAGAGTGATAGGCAGAGAATTCAAGGGCAAGAATCAAACAGGGCCACAATGCAAAATGTTAAAAAGGCAAGACTTAAAACCTCAAGATTTTATGCGCAGAAAATTTGCAATAAAGTGGATTAACTCATTGTGCAAAGAAATATAAATAAGTCTGATATATTTGGGATTGCAGAGACATGGCTGCAGGATGACCAGTTTGCCAGATATCCAATTTTTGGAAATGACAGATGAAAACAAAAAGGAAGTGGGATAACATTATTGGTTAAAGAGGAATTAACACAATAGTGAGGAAGGATATTTGCTCTGGTGAAATAAAATCTGTACAAGTAGAGCTTAGAAACACCAAGGGGCAGAAAACAATGGTAGGGATTGTAGAGAAACCTCCAAACTGAAATGTTAATATTAGGGAAGGCATTAAACAAGAAGTTATAGATGCAAGCAAAAAAGGTTTAGCTGTATTTATTGCAGATTTTAATCTGCATATAGATTGGGCAAATCAAATCAGTAACAATACTGTAGAGGAGAAATTCCTGGAGTGTGTACAGGATGGTTTTCTGGACCAATATGTTGAGAGCACCCAAGTGGGCACCAGGCCATTCCTAGACTTGGTACTATATAACGGGAAAGGTATAACTGGCAATTTAGCTGTGCAAAAACCTTTAAGGAAGTGTGACCATAATGTATTAGAATTCTTCCTTAAGATGGAGAGTGACATAGTTGATTCTGAGACTAGTACCCTGAATATAAATAAAGAAAACAATGATGGTACCATTTGCAAACCGGTTGTGATCAATTGAAGAATGTAATTTAAAGAAATGATGATGGTTAGGTGTTGGCAAACATTTAAAAAGTACGTGGAAGAATTCCAACAGCTATTCATTCCTAACTGACTTAAACATAAAATGGAAAAGGTGGCCCGACCATGACTAACAAGGAAATTTCAGGATAGTATTAGATCCAAGGAAGGGGCACACAAATTGGCCAAATAAAGTAGCGGACCTGAGGGCTTGGGCAGTTTCAATTTCAGCAAAGGAGGAGTAAGGGATTGATTAAGAGGGGAAAATAGGGTACAAAAGTTAGCTTGCAGAGAACATAGACGCTGCTTGCAAAAGCTTCCATAGATTTGTGAAGTGAAAAAATTAGTGAAGACAAATAAGGGTTCCTTTTAATCAGAAACAAGACAAGTTATAATGAGGAGCAAAGAGATGGCAAATCAATTAAATACATGCATTAATTCTGTATTTACAAAGGAGAACACAAATAACAGTCCCAATGATATTGAAGAACTCAGGGTCTACTGAGAATAAGGAATTGAAGGAAATCAATATTAGTAGGAAAATGGTATTAGGGAAATTGATGGGATTGAAGGCTATTAAATCACCAGGGCCTAATCATCTACATTCTAGAGTACTTAAGGAAGTGGCTGTAGAAATAGTGGATTCATTGATTGACTTTCAAATTCTATAGGCTCTAGAACAATTCTTACATATTGGAGGGTGACTAATGTAACCCCACTATTTAAAAATGGCAGTAGAGAAAAAACAGGGAATTGTAGACTGGTTAGCCTGATATTGGTCTTGGTAAAAATGCTGGAGCCCATGATAAAACATTTAATAGCAGACCATTTGAAAAACAGTGACAGGATTGGCAGAGTCAGGAAAGTCGATGTTTCGGATCAGCACCCTTCACCAGGACCTGATCCGAAACATCAACTTTCCTGCTCCTCTGATGCTTCCTGATTTGCTGTGTTCCTTCAGCTCCACATTGTATTGACTCTGACTTCCAGCATCTGAAGTTCCTGCTATCTCCTTGACAGAGTCAGCATGGATTTATGAAAGGAAAAGTATGGTTGACAAATCTACTGGAATTTTTCAAGGACATAACAGGTAGACTTGGTAAGGGGAAGTCAGTAGATGTGGCTACTTGGATTTTCAGAAGACTTTTGATAAGGTCACACGTAGAGAATAGCATGTTAAATGGAAATACATGGCATTGGGGTAGTGGAATGTCATGGATAGAATACTGGTTGGTGGAAAGGAAACAAAAATAAGGAATAAACGGGTCTTTTTCCAAGCAGCAGAGGTACTATTGGTGTACCATATTGATGAACGTTTGAACCTCAGCTATTCACAATATATATTAATACGTAGATGAGGGAACTAAATGTAATATCTTCAAGTTTGCAGACAACACAAAGTTTTGTGAGATGAGCTGTGAGAAGGACGCAGAGATGATTCAGAATAATCTGGACAAGTTGAGTGAGTGAGCTACTGCTTGACAGAAGAAGGATGATTTAGATAAATTAGAAGTTATCCACTTTGGTAGCAAAAACAATCGAGCAGATTATTATCTGATGAACAATACGTTGGAAAAGGGTGAGGTGTAACAAGACCTAGGTGTCCTTGTACACCAGTCACTGAAAGTTAAGCAGGCAAGTGGAGCAGACAGCGAAGAAGGCAAATGGTATGTTGGCCTTCATAGCAAGAAGATTCGAAGACAGAAGCAGGTCTGTCTTGCTAAATTGTACAGGGCCTTGGTGAGACCACTTACATGCAGTTTTGGTCTCCTTATCTGAGGAAGGATGTTCTTGCTATGGAGAGAGTGCAATGAAGATTTAGCTGAATGATTACTGGGATGGCACAATTGATATATGAAAAACAAATTGGATTGGTTGGGACAATATTCATTGGAGTTGAGAAGAAGTGGGGGAAATATCATTGAAACCTATAAAATTCTAACAAGGCTAGACAGGGCAAATGCAAGAAGGATGATCCTGATGACCGGGGAGCCCAGAACCAGGGATCACTTCCTAAAGATAGTGCGACTTAGTTAGGCCATTTAGGACTGAGGTGCGGACAAATTTCTTCACCCAGAGAGTGGTGAGCCTCTGGAGTTGTCTGCCACAGAAAATGGTTCAGACCAAAACATTGAATGTTTTTAAGAAGGCATTAGATTTGGTGCTTTGGGCTAAGACACAATCCAAGGGTATGGGGAGAAAGGAGGAGCAGAGTTCTGAGCTGGATGATCAGCCATGGTCATATTGAATAGTGGAGCAGGCTTGAAAGACCAAATGGCCAACTGCTGCTCCTAGTCTTGATGATTCTACTCTTTTTTTTCCTGGAGGACACCGTATACTTTGTATGTACATATGAGTAAGGCTGGTGGAAGGAAGAATATTTAAAGCAAAAGGTTTTTTTAACTATGCTATTATTTTTCCAGCTTTAATGTCTAGCTTTAACATAGGCAAATTCTCTGATTATTTCTACACCAATTTGATTTTCTTCAGGTAATTCTTCCTTTGCCAAACAATCTCGCTACAGAATAATCATCCAGAAGCCTGACAATGGAGGACAGGAGTGTCCAGATACTCTATATGAAGAAAGAGAATGTGAAGCACGTCCTCCTTGTCCAATTTATAGGTAAGTATAACTAGACATAAGAAATGGATTGAAATTTTAAATTTCACTGGCAGATGCTCAGTGGTTACCACTGCTGCCTTACAGCGCCAGGGACCCAGGTTTGATTCCACCCTCGGGCGACTGTCTGTGTGGAGTTTGCACATTCTCCCCGTGTCTGCGTGGGTTTCCTCCGGGCGATCCGGTTTCCTCCCACAGTCCAAAGATGTGCAGGGTATGTGGATTGGCCATGCTAAATTGCCCGTAGCGTTCAGGGATGTGTAGATTAGGTGGGTTGCAGGGGGATGGATCTGGGTGGGTTGCTCTGAGGTTCGGTGTGGACTTGTTGGGCCGAAGGGCCTGTTTCCAAACTGTAGGGATTCTTTGTTCTATGATGATCTACGCTCTCTGTGAGTTGAAGAATTAATTATGCATTTAGAAATCACAGAATAAAAAAAAAATGCTGCTGTATTATAACAGTTGCTACATTTGAAACTACTTTATTGATGGTAAAGAGCTCTGGGAGATCCTGAATTTGTGAAAGGTGAGATACGGAATGAAAGTTGTTCTTTTTTGAAAGTGAGATTCATGTATTTTTTTGCGCTCTCCTTTTCTCTTACGGTGTGTTTACCAAAGTGACATAATAGGTCTGGAATTAGAAGTTGGGTCAAAGAAATGCCCTTGGTGAGTACAGTATAGAATCATAGAAACCCTATAGTGCATATTGAGGCCCTTCGGCCCATTGAGGCCGCACCAATCTTCAAAGACCATACCGGACCTCTAACCTATCTCCATAACCATCTTTTACCATAGCTAACCCATTGAGCCTGTACAACCCTGGACACCACAGGGCAAGTTAACATGGCCTATCCCATCTAATCTGCACATCTGTGGGACTGTGGGAGGAAACCAGAGCACCTGAAGGTTCTGTGGTTCTGTGAGGCAACAGTGCTAACCATTGAGCTACCATGCCAAAATGTATGTAAGTTGACAATGTCGTATTCAGCTCTGTCACATAAGAAAGGAAAAAGAATGTCTTGCATTTATATAACCCTCTCATGACCCCAAACACCCTGAAGCATTTGCACTCAATTTAAATATTCTTTGAAGTATAGTCACAGTTGTACTGTAGCAACGAATTTGTACGCTCCTGCAAACAAAAATGTGATGATAGCCTCTTTAACAATGCTGGTTGAGAGATAACATTGGCCAGGATATTCAGAATGCCAATTGGGATGGCCACTGCTTCTCTTCAAATAGTGAGATCTGATTCTACTTCTAAATTGGTATGTTGGCCCTCACTGAAATAGCCTTTTGGATAGGTGTCATCGCAGATTAAACTCAGAGACACTTTCAGTACTACACGAGAGTACAATACATTATCAGCCTAAAGTTTGTACTCATATCTCTGGATAGGTCTTGTTGGACCAACCTTCTAACTCGGGTTTGCTACCAACTGAGCCATTGCTGATAACACAAGAAACATCACAGCATTCCGATTATCACTGATTTTTATTCCATGTTTTCACTTCCATCACTTTACTCAGAGTTTGATTGCAACTGCTGAGCATTTTCTTAATGAAAGAAACTTCGTTATCTGAGTTCAACTTTTGCTACTTCCTATTTACGTTCTCTTCTGTTGTTCCCCAATTTAATTCAAAATTCTATTTCAGAACAGACTTCTCCAGCTCTTTTACTACCTTACACACCTCTGTATTCTACCACCTGTCAGACAGCATCTTTCCAGTCATTCTTCATATCTCAAATCTCTAATCATCTTCATAATTCTTTCTGCACACCCTCCAGTGTTTAAATATTTCCTATTCCTTTTAACATAGATATGATAATCAAGGTATGTTCTGACCTGCTTACTGTAATCTTGATCAAACTTGCATTCTGCTGTTTGGGTCATGCAGTTCAACTTTTGGGCTGCTTCATTGACTGCTGCTCTGCATTGAAAAAATGTTGTTGAATATTGGGTCTACTGAGGCTCCTTCAGCCTTGCAACTTCAGTCGTAACTGTGTTAATAACCATTCATGAAGTATGTATGTTACTCTTTATTTTTCTTTATGGTCATTATGATACCGTTATATGCATTAAATTTAACCTGCTGTTGCTCTGTTCATTGTATGCATGCATTTTATCTAACTCATACTGCAATTTCTTATTTCATTGTGCTCTAAATTTGATATCATTTGCTTGGGGCAGATCAATTTACTTGGGGCTTCAGAATGCAACTCACTGATATAAATGAGAGACAATACTTGTCTCAATACTGGAACCCTTCATCCTGATATTACCCAACTACCTAGTATCTATTTTGTTCTCTCAGACAATTCCATATAAATGTGCATGCTTTGCCCTGAATGTGCACATCTAAAAGCTTAATCTTCCCTGTGGACTAAAACCATTGTGTTTGTGATGGTTGAATTGGGTTGCCACTTCCACAAAGAAATCAAGGAGAATAGTCAGAAAGGGCCTCTCTAATCAATGCCTGTTTGGGTCATGAATAAACGTTATGTTTTTTTGTAAGTATTATTGAAATTTTCTCCTAACCAATTGTATTTACAAAAAGTAAGATTAATGATTCTCCAGTTGCCTGTCCTCATCAATGCCTCTGTGTGAAAAAAGAACATTAATTTCCTACCGTTTCGTCCCCTATTTCTATAGCACGTAAACCAGAGTTCCTTGACTGATTTTAAAAGAAAACCATCTCAGGTTGTGTAGATCTTGACGAATAACTTATGTGATTACGGAAAGAATTATCTCCACCCTTTTTGATCACCACTTTAGGTGGAAAACTCATAAGTGGCATCACTGTATCTTGGCACCTGATTATGTCAGACAAGGAACAATTGGAGCAACTGAGGCCTGTGGCTCTGGTTTACAAGCCAGAGGTAAGATTTTTTGTGATTTTTCATATTTTATCAGTGAACACTTGAGAGTTTTTGACAGAATGGTATGAATTTAAAATTTTCTCATTAATTGTCCAACAATACTTAGCAACACAAATAATCATGTGACAATATCTCAGTATTGTATAATAATGCAGCATGTTTTGCTATGATAAGCCAAAGTGAATTGTTTGTGCTTACATTGAGGAACTATTCCAAATAGAACATGCTGTTATGAAAACGTTCTCTGACATTGTAGAGCTTTTTTTTTTCCCTTCATTTTGTATTTTGAAACTGCAGCATAGTTTGATTTTAGATTCTACCTTAGTTTGTGGATTTCCCTCCTTGTGCAGTAAGGTGTAATTGTATCAACTGGATTGAATGAGCCAGTTGTAGTTCTGTAATATAGACATGACAAATGTTACAGAAGGAGTAAAGGCACGTTTTGATTGTGTGAACTTTGCTTATGGAATGCTTTAGCATTTAGTGAGATGGTTGATTCAGTAAAGTTTGCACCAAGCGTGACAGGTGACTAAATATTGTGCCTAGTTATTGTGACATAACAGTATTGAGTGAACTGCATTCAGCAACTTTTGATCCATCCATTTTGTGGAATCTGGCAAAAGGATGTCTAATTGATTTTTTTTAAAATTTAGGTCATGTATCTTTAGGAAAGCTAAATTCCTTCTCTGTATAACTCTGTGTGTGCATTTTGGTTTTCCCTCCAGAATTGAGGTCATGTTTGAGAAAGGGTTTGTGTGGCACATGATTTGTTCCAGCGTTGTATTATGCTTGAGGTTCTTTGTAGTTACTTTTATCTCCTTTTTAATCTCTTTTTTTCCCCTCTTGTCTTCTTGCCTCTCTATTGCTTACCATACCACATTAATTTTCAATTGCAGTGATGCCTTATAACTTGTCAGTCTGAATCCTAACCCATCATATAACTCTGCTGCCATCTCGGACTTGAATCCCATTCGGATAAGCCCAGATCAGTCTCATTACCACTCTCTTCATGTTCTCCAAATGGTTTTGGAAACATTTGTTGTTACTACCTTACGAACAATAGCCTTCAATATCTCACCTTTCCTTTTCACCAATCTTTCCACTCAGCACACTCACTGACAAGTTCATTTATTCATCTTACTCAACTACCCACCTCTGTCCCATTGGATTGGATTCTGGATAACAATCACTTCTGCTTTTAGCATTAACACATAGATCTTCATAGATTAAGGCCCTTGCAATTCTCAATTTTATTGCATATCAAGTCATTAATATTCTGGGGTTGTCCAAAATATATCACATGGGTGGTGTGTCAATGAACCAAAGGAATATAATATCCACCATCTGCTTGACCAAACCTCTGGAGTGACAGTGTGGCCATTATCATTAAATCACTATATGGTGTCTTTTGTTATCGATGTTGTTTTTCTTTATCCTTCAAGCACTTCACTTTATTCAGTCCATTTCGTCGGTTTTTTTAAGTCCATATTGTCTATCATCCCCTATTCCAATCATCACTCCAAATTGATAATGGAGATATCTTCCTCCAATCTCCACCTCTGCAATGAACAACTTCACATCCGCTTAATATTTAATTTCCATCTCAGTTTGACGGTTTGGTCACTTGTGCAAGTCCTGTTCCCTTCATACCTCACTTGCTGACTATACTTTGAGTTGCTTGAATCACACACTCTGTAATTTTCTCCATAAACCCACAGACCTTCCATTACCTTCTTACTTCTTTGAGACTTTGGTTGATGTACCCCTATTCAACTAACTTTATTTTTATTGATTGTGTCTATGAATTATTGTTGGATGTTTTATTGAAGGTATACCTTGAGGTCCAAATTGTTGTTTTTATTGTTGGAAAAAGTCCTGGTAGATGTATTTATCTACAAATCTCACAATGATATAATTTACATTATTGAATCATTTGATTGTAATGCAATGCAGAGAAAAATAATGGATGATTCTTCTTGTTTTCCAGTTAAACTGTGACTGATTAATATTTGATTTGATCTGTGATACTAACACTTAAATGATACTTGTTCCAAAGTCGAGATGTTTTTGTATATTTACAAAAGAATTTACAATACAAGAAGTAAAGATGTTAAAATACAAAGGCTACATTTATAGCCTAGTAAGTTGTAAACATAACACCCTGCATATATGCTAACAGATTATCAGCTCATCAATCTTGAATGGCCTTGTGGCAATACATGTAAGAAGTCCACTCTCGCTCCAAGATAGTATTTAGGTCTTTCTTAAATGTATTGAAGGCACCCTTATCTTTATTTGCCTAAAAGGTATCCCTTTATCTTGGTCTATGACTTAGCCTAAATGTCATCTGTTCTATTACTTTTGAGATAAAATACACAGCATCTAACCTCCCAAACATCCCTGAAAACATACAATAAAACTTAAGAAAAATGAATGACACCTTTGTTTGGAATTCTCAAAGGACATATGTTATTGGACAAGATTTCAATCTTTAGCTGTTTAATTAAATGGCACTGTACAGATAGAAGACCTTATTCTAAAATGAAGGCTTTATTTTAAAATAGAGGCTTATAAAAGCACTTAGACTAATTTTTACATTGAGCGCAGGAAAAATCCTGCATGTTTAGAGAGTATAGAACTTTCTTACTTCATATACCTATCCATGTGGTAAATTATGTCCCATCATGAATTATTCTGGAGGCAGCCTTCCCCTTTTAAATGTTGGCATTATGTTCAATTATGTTCTTCATCTTTAAATATCAGTTGGCTCTAAGCACAGAAATAAACCAAGTGCTCATTTCCTTTATCACTTCTCAGTACTCATTTCCAGCAATACTCAAATACTAACTATGACCTTATCTAAGATTTTTATGTTGTTACAATGACATAGCCATCTTGAGCTATTTTCTTATCTAGTATATGTTTCTGATTAGCACTAAATATCATGATGCAAATAAAGAAAGACATTAAATTGAAGCAACAGTGCACTGTCCCATCAAGAAATGATGAACTTATTAGCTTCTCTAGATCCCTTTTCATCATCACCCATCTTATGTATATTCATGCTAAGTATTAATTTTCTCTTGTCCAGTTATCCAAATTTCAGTGTTAAATTTCAGGAAGCAAACGTTGAATTCTGAAAATTTAAATTCTATGTACATTTTTACTGTAATTTAAATCAGCTACCAGTGTGTTTAACTCTATCCCAACTTTCTCTATGGAGGAGGTGTTAGTCCTTTGATTGAAATATTATTTTGCTTTGCTGAACCAGATAAGCCATTTCATTTACTGTTGATATAACTTAGCTTGTTTGGGACTAAATTTACCCAAGGAAAGCAAAGGTTATCTAATGCCAGTGGCTGTACCTTATTAACATTATTGTATGAATAGATATTTGGCTTTTTCATGTTCTATAATTGTCTCCTAGTGCTACGCATCTTCTAGAAGTAACCTGTAGTTTTGCAGATGTAGTATTCTTTCAATAATTGGGTACTGTTTGTGTCTGTGACCTGTACTTGTCCCACAGCACTGACACTGATTCTTAATACCTGCTGTCTGTCTACTGTTTGTGTCTTTAAGGATGCTATGCCTTATAAATTGAATGGATCTGATTATTCTCCTCCTCTCAGCATTTCTCTAACTCTTCCCTGGTTTCTGTTTCTGGCACAAACTTAGCAGTTTCTCCAAAGACAAATCTTCTTTGGACTATAATAAGTTTGACAAAAATTCATCAGTATTTCCAGTAATAATTTTGTTCCTTATGAATTCTGATTTTAAAGCCAGATATACCAAGGGTGTGGGGGTACAGGAGTGGGTGGGGACTAAAACATCAATTAGAAGCTGCCAAATGAGAAGAAAGTCTGGCCAGAAACAATGATGCTGAAGGCAGCAACAGTAAGCCTATGATGTGATCTCTGCCCCACACTGGGAAGGGAGTCACACCTTAGGGAGCAATGGACTGATCTGCTTTAATAGACTTGGTAGCAAAACAAGCTGAATTACACGCTGCAGTACAGCATACAAGCCCATGAAGCTGGCAGCCATCAATCCTGCACTGAGGTAAGTATGGGGTATTGAGTTAGGAGAGTTAGCAGTTTGCAGAAGGTGGGTGAAGGGTATCTGGACTGGTTTTGGAGAGCAGGCATGAAGTAAGATATGAAAGGGGGTGGGTATTGTATTCAGGTGATGTGTCCCTGCTGTGAAAAGTTTACTGCCTTAAGAGATTACTTCCCTTCCTTACAGCCCTTTTAAAACCCTTTATTTAAAAATAGGCTGCCACTCTCACTGGGCTGCTAACATCAATCATATTGTGGTATGGGTTGCAAATGATCAATGTCGATAGAACCTTAGTTATTTATTTACACATGGTGGCTGGACTGGTTGTTTCAGAGCCTGCTTAACTATCATAATATCAGGTTGAGGTCAGGGTTGGATGGGGGTGGGGGAGGGCAGGGTAGACTAACTACCCAAACTATTTTAGGTGCCTGCCATCCACGCCCATATTCTGCTCATTGTCAGTTTTCTACTGTCCTGTGGAGGTGAATAATTAACTCATTTATGGAATCCGGTAGATGCTGAAGTCTTGCTCACTCAAAATATCTCCAATCTAAATTTAATTGCATGAAACTTCTTGGTTTAGGTACCTTGGCAATATTCATGTCTAGGTGGTCAAAGCTGACCAGATAGACTCATTTTTTAAGTGTAACATGACGTCCTAAAACATGAGAATGATTGACAGGAATTGTGAACATTCTCTTGAATGGAATAATAGTGCTCATCATTTTGGAAAAGGACCAACAATGGCGTATTTTATCCACGCCTGAATCAGGCATTAGGGCAGAGTGCCATATTTAACTACATAGTAGCATTTTAATTTATATTCTGTTTAGTCCTCATTCCCCACCTCCGTATAGTGGCAAAAATGACCTGATATCCACATGTGAAGTTCCAGTGAAGAATATGAAGAAGTTAAATTGCCAACTCCTCCACAACTCATGAGC